ATTCCTGCTTAAGACAGCAATTGTAACACATCTTAGAAACACTATACAGACAACCCCATCAAACACAGGAATTTTCTCAAATCCATTTTAGCAGTATAGCACCTTCAAGATAAGACTTGTTAATTCATTTGGTAACGTAGTTTGAAAAGGTACAGCATACCTCTCAATCGATTTTAAAAACTGAATCTTAAAAAGCAAAATTATTAATCATTTAGGAACTTGCAAGTGTCCCTGCAGAGACACACGTTTCCTGAGAAAGTTAACTGGCAGGAAGTCCTCTGACAAAAAACCCAAAACAACCAACCAAAAAAACCACCCCCAGGAGTCTTAACGTAGTACAGTTAGATTCCAGTAAGTTACCCAAGATCGCCACACAACTGAATTCACCCAGGCAAGAAAACAGGTCTGTAACTGTCAAAGTCTCCGTTAATGTGATTATCTTTGCTACAAAAACATTGATGTATCAGTTGATAGGCCTGATTTTCACATAGTAAATAAAAATTAGACCATAAAATATTCACACCCTTAGAATAACAAAAGTATTTTTTAAGTAAGAGCATGCAGCCCACGTGTTAAGAACAAACAGGCACTTCTATCACAGTAGAATTTAAAAATGTTTTCCCATTTTTCTTTAACCTACCAGAAATGGGGACAAGATTACTAAAATGGTCTACACAATATATTGGCACATGAAAAAAAACCCAACACCTTTCTGTCTTCACTATGTAATGTAAGTGACAGTAATTAAGAGTGTTGTTCCCCCCCCTTTTTTTTTTCCCTCCCCTTAAGTGCTGTATGACAGTATGTCTTAGCACCTAACAAACCAATGAATTTTTAGTCACAGTTGGGCTTCCAGTATCTCCAAGGATGGAGACTGCAAAACCTTCCTGGACAACCAACCTACTCCAGTGTTCAACCACCCACAGAAGTTTCTTATGTCTACACAGAACCTCCTGTATCAGTTTGTGCCTGTTGCCCTTCATTCTGTCACTGGGTACCAGTGAGACAAGTCTGGCTCTGTATCGCCCTCACCACCTCCAAAATCAGGTATTCATACCCATTGATAAGATACCTCCAAGCCTTTTCTCCAAGCTGTACAATCCTAGCTCCCTCAGCCTCTCCTTGTCCAACAAATGCTCCAACCCTTTAATCATTTTCATGATGCTTCATTTGACTCCCTCCACTATGTCCGTGTCTCTCTTGTACTGGGGTGCCCAGGACTGGACACAGGACTCCAGATGTGGTGTCTCCAGTGCTGACTAGAGAGGCATAATCATCTCCCTCAACCCACTGGCAGTGCTCTGCACAACACAGCCTGGGACGCTGCTCGTGCCCTTTCCTGTAAGGGTGTACAGCTGTCCAATGCCCACCTTCTTGTCCACCAGGATTCCCAAGTTCTTTCCTGCAAAACTGTTTTCCAGCTGATCAGTCCCCTGGCTGTACTGATGGATGGAGTTACACCTTCACAGGTGCAGGACTGTGGAAACGGCACTTTCTGTCCCCTTATTTTTCAAAGTTCAGGCCAAGAGAGAACATTAAGTATTTTCCAGATCTGGCCCTTGTTTTAACTGCCATCAAGAAGCAATGGTCTCTCAAGGCCTAGTCCTACTCCTACTAATAAAAAAAGGTTAATCTACAATGGAAATGGGACAGGGGGGAAGCGCCTCTCCAAGGCTTGCACACACTGGAATTCTGAGAGACCTGACATGAAACTGTAAATACTTTGTGTGATATACAAATGAGTAACACTAACAGACCACTATGGAACAATAATCAATATATGAGCTTTAGGCGGTCATAGCAAAATTAGGGAAAAAACCCTAAGACAAGATATCTGCCTATACTGAAGACAGACCTGAACTACATTTAAAAAATAAATAAAAAAGCAGCAGCAACAAATCTCAACAACTCTTATTACATGCACAGACATTTTCATTTGTACGGAACTACTTCTCAGGATTACTTACATGCCTTTAATAGGTTGTCTACACTCAACAAAACCTCAAATATCTCATATACTTTAATCTAAATATTATAGGCTTTATTCATAATATTATATAATAACAAACTCATATAATCATTATATCAGGAGTAAACTGAGTATATGGACAAGATACTCCAACACACCTTTTTTTTTTTTTTTTTTTACGTTCAGTAGCCATAAATCAAAGGCATTTAAACTCCTGTTATCAATACTCCAAAATCAGAGCAACAAATTTCCATGAGGTAGCAGGTTATCACATCAGCAGAAATCGATTGTTTTTAGAGGGACTGGACTTACCAGTTGAAGTGGAATCTCATGATTAAAAAAAAGGAGGCAAATTAGGGGGCTTAGCCACCCTAGGGACATGAACTTACTTTTATTATAGAAATTAAATGTATGCAGAGAGTCATCACTAAGGAGCCGGCACAGAAAAATTCCAAGTTTGTC